CACGTCTGTTGAAACCGTTTCTTCAGCCTCGCCCCCACCACCTAGGCAGCCCACCGGCACCTTTGTACGCGCCGGCGGGGGCGCCCTGGAGCCCTGAACCGTCCTACGGGGAACAGGGGGTTGGGGGCGGGGAGCGGCGCGGGCCGCACGCGAGGAAGGAATTTCCTGGGCCATTGCGATAATGGGAACAAGAAAGATTGAGGCTCAGAAAGCCAGAGAGAGACGTGTGAGGAGGAAGCAAAGAGGGTGTGAGAAGCTGGAGAGGGGGCCGGAGCGCCAGCGAAAGAGGGGAGCGCGGGGGAAGGAGGAAGAGAAGGAGAGGAGGAGAAGAGAGACGCGGCTGCTGGGCGCGCGACGGCAGCTGGCGGAGGAGGGGAGCGGACGAGAACCTGTGCGCCGGGGAAGCCAGGACGGAGGGCAGCATGGGCAGGGGAGGGTTGTCGAGTGGCTGCGCCCGGGCTGTGCCGAGGAGCCCGCGGGGGCGGCAGGACCGCGGGCCGCGGGACTCACGGACAGCGCGAGGCGGCGCGGTGGCCCCTCTCCCTATGCGGGGCTGGGGCGCGGAGGCTGGGCGGGGCCGGTGGGCGTCTGAGCGCGGCGCGGGCGCATTCTTCGCCTTTTCTTCCTGGGGCTCATTCCGGCCGATCGATACCTGCGCGGGACCTGCCCCCGCCGCTAATATCTTTTTAATGAGTTCGCCAGGCTTAAAGCGAGCGCGATCTGCCCTCCAGGGTGGATTTTCCCCCGGCAGATGTTTCGGGAGGAGGAGGCGCGAGGAGCTCCCGGGAGGGGGGACAAATCTCTCCCTCCGAGGGGCGAGAACAGGAGACTTTCTTCTAAAGTTCAAAAGAAAGACGGGCTTTCACTCGGCCCCCAAAAATGTATTTCTCGGCGGACAATGGGCTTCTTTCTGCGCCTCTGAGAGCCGGCGAGGCGAGCGGGGCGGGGACCCGTGCGCTTTGGTCCGGCCTGACCGACTCGCACCCCTCTCCCCCGCACCCAGGCAGGGGCCCCAGAGCTAGGGTGCAGGAGCCGCGAAGCCGGCAGCCCCTCCGAGCGTCCCCTTGAAGGGCACTGTCGCAACCTGGCCGTCCCGGAGCTGAGCCCCGGCGCACTGGCGAGAACGAAAGCGTCGTGCGGGCTGGGGCGCGGGGCCGGGGAAACCCTGGGCTGTCCCACACGCCCCCGGTCTCATAGGTGCCTCAGCCAGGCCGAAGGGACACGTGCTGGTGCCTCGAGGGGAGGCCGGACGGACCTCCGGGCTTGGGCCGCGGCCTCCTTCCCCTCGGCGCTCCGCCCTGCGCGAGGCAACAAGTAGAAATTAGCCGACCCTGGTGGCTGCCCGGCCCTGAGCCTGTCTTGCCCGCTCCGGCCCGACCAGCCCTCCGGATCGCCCCCTGCTCTTCTCCTCCACTTCCCCTTCAATGTCCCTCCGTGGGGCCGTCAGCCTGCCGCGGCGGCCCTCTCTCCACTCCCGTGGGCTCGGGGGAAGGGGGTACCCGGGCGGCGAGGATGACCTCCGAAGAGCCGCGGCAAATTGATTCGTTCCGCCCGGAGCCGGGGCCGCGTGAATGGGGGCCCGGGCGGCGGCGGCAGCGGCGGCGATGAGGATAAAGATGTTCTCCCTGAAAGGGGGAGGGGGCGCGGAGCGGGAAGCCGGGCCATTCACTCCTGGCCCGGCCCCTCGGGAAGCCGCGCCGAAGAAAGGGGGCCGAGGCCTATTCAAGTCCTACGAGCCGCCCACAATGGACCGATATACTGGGGGCCTCTCTATTAACGCCCATGAATATTAAAGAGATCGCCAAGTGGCGGCCAGCGGGTGAGGGGGGCGACAGTGCCTGCGAGCTCCGGCCCGGTCGAGGGGAGGGGGCTTTTGCGCGAGCAGATTCCGCGCCTGGGCCCCGCGGAAAATGACAAAATGACATGGGTCATCCGCTGGGAAAGCCCGGAATGTTTCCCTTCGAAATCTCCTCCCGGGGAGATGCAAGCCCAGGGTCTTGCTGCCTATTTCAATGCACCTTGAGACTGGGCGCTACCAACAGGCTCCTTTTTCCCCGGGCGGGGGTCCAGGTGGGTTTGCGGCTAGACTAAAAGCACAAAATGTGAGCACAGTGGAGGTCTCGGCGCACCAACTGGGAGGCTGTTCTGGGCTCCGCTTCCGCCCCGCTCCCAGCACTGCTCCCCGGGTTTGAGGGTCCGGAGGAGAGGAATGGGACTCAACTGGCCGCAGTACGAGCCCGTGGTCACTGCGCCAGCGGAATCCAAGCCTCTGACTCTAAGCCGAGGTTCAGGACCCAAATGCTGCGCCCCAGCACGGAGGATGCACGGACCTGAGGGCTTCCTGCAGTGGGACGTGGCCCTGGAGAGGGCAAAATCCTCGGGATTGTCGTGGGGGAAAGTGATCTTACCCAAAGTGAGACCAAGCAAAGAAACCTCAGTTCACAAAATCCAACTCAAACCATTGCACAGACAGGGACCCTGAGGCTCAGAGAGGAAAGGGGCAGTCTACGGGACACACAGCACTCCTTATCCTCCTTTGGGTTGCTGGAGGAACTGAGGTCGCTTTCGGGGCTTGGGAGCTGCCGCAGCGCTTGGCTCCTGGCAGCGCTCCCCGACGTCGTCTCCCTCGCTCGCAGCACTTTCTCCTCTCCACCTAGGTCTTCCTAGAAGCCAAGAAGTAGGCGCAGGTGAGGGTTCCCTGCAGGAGCCATCGGACTGCAGACGCCCCCTCAGATTCGAGCTCTGGCCAGGGAGCCGATGTGACCCGCCGGCTGCGTCGGAAAATGAGTGGAGGGTTCGGGGACAGTAACCCACCTCCCTCCTCAGCAGGGCTGCCCTCTGCTGGCGCCCTGCCCAACGGTCCTGCCTTCTGCCAGGTGTTCCTTTCCCTGGGCGCCAGCCTCGGGCGGATCCGGGCGCCGGGTCTGAAGGCCAGCTACCGCCGCCTTCCTCCCTTTGCGTGCCAACGGGGACGCGGGATGCCGGAGACTACTGGCAGGAACTGGGGACCAGGGGTCTGGAGTCTGGCCGCCAGGTGTGAGGCCCTCTTAGCCAAGGCGCGTCCGGGTGGTGGAAGGGCCTCTATGTCAAGAGGCGTTAGGACAGGGTCTCGCTTATGGGAGGTCAGCTCGCTGTCCTTCCACCCAAGTCCTCCGCGCTGCGGAGAAGGTCTGGGGAGTCCACACCGTCCAGCGGAGACTAACCCATGAGCCTGACCCACGCCGAGAGGGTCCAGGCACCTCGGTTAGTGGCATCTGAAATTGTAGCCTTGCGGTGGGAGCCAGAAGTGCGGCAGGTGGGGTGAGCCCCCTCACCCAGCATGTCAGGGCCTGGGGTCCGAGGCTTGAGGCTGACACTGGGGAGCGGCGAAACCTGCAGAAACTGGGGGCTTTCCGCCCGGCTCAGCAGCTCCCTGCTTCAGGAGAGGGGATCGCTGGGCTCCGAGGTGCCTCAAAACCGCCGCAAAGCAAGTCTACTCCTGGGGTGATGGGCAGGAGGAATAGAGGGGAGGAAGGGAAAGAAGAGAGAGGCAGAGGAGAAAGAAAGAACAAGGAGGCAAGAAGGAAGGGGCGCCGCAAGCCACGGGCTTCCCGAGGTTGCAGCTCAGCAAGGAGCCCCAAGGCCGAGTCGCAAGCCGAACCCGCGCTGAGGCCTCTCGCGGAGCTGCCTGCAGTTTCGGAGGGACTTAGCTCTCAGGCACGCCTGCTCCCACCTAGGAACGGTCTCGGGACCCCTTTCAATCCCCCTATATCCCGTAGGAAATTCTTTTCCCAGAGACAGGCTGCCAGTGCGATTCCCGTCCGCCCATCTCGACCCCGGATCTGGCCCCGCAAGAGCCAGAAGCCTGGCCGCCCACGAAGCTGTCTCAGGCCGGGACCGGGACCAGCCCCAGCCCCAGCCCCGACGACGGCTGCAGCCCCGCCTCGGCAGCCCAGTGAGCCCGCGGAGGAGTTTAGCACCCGACTGCGCACAGGGAGCTAGTTGGTGCGGCCCGTTTGAAGCGAAGCGCCGGCTTCAGCCGCGCAGTCTGAACAGGGGATCCGCGTGGCAACGGGGGCTGCGCGCGAGCTCAGGGCGACTGTGGTGGCCAGGGGAGTGCAGGGTCGGGGAGAGAAGAGGACGCGGGCCCTGGCCAGGGAGGGAGAGCTGTGCCGGGCTGGGCCGGCCGGCCGGGGCAGCAGAGGAAAGGTGAACACCGGGTTGGGCCAGGCAGGCGAGCGTGGATCCGGCCTGAGGGGAGCGCGGGGTCCGAAGCCAGGCGTCCCCTCTTGTCCAGCCCGTTCCCTGGAGTCCTGGCGAGCCTCGCCGCACCCCCTCCCCTGCTCTGTCCCCTCCTCTCCTCACAGCCGGCTGAGCCTCCCTCCCTGCCCGGCGCTTCCCACGGGGAGAGAAGAAAAAACAGGAGGGGGAAGGAAGGACCAGGAAGGGGAGGGAGGAGTGGAGGGGGACTGTTCGGAGCGGTCCGCGCGCCCCCGCCCCTCGCGCTCTCGCGACGAAGGCTCCTCAAGCCCAGCCGGGTACAACAAGTCTGTCCTCCGACGTCAGGGGGTCATTAATAACCAATTAGGAGGGTCACTGCGGCTCCTATAAAGGCGCTGAGATTTTGCCAAGGGGAAGACGGCCCCGGCCGAGTGTGCGAGAGGCTAGCGCGCGTCTGAGAGCCCCTTGCTGCCGCTTCCCTGCAACCACCCGCCTCTCTCCCACCCCGCACCCCCCCGCACCCGCCTCCGCCTCCACCCGCGCCTCTCCACCCTCCGCGCCTCCTTTGCCATCTCTGCAGATTTCACCATCTCTCTTCCTGTCTCCCCCTCGTTCACTTTCCTCCCAGTCGCCCCCTCACCTCCCGCTCCCTCCTGCGTCCTCCTCCTCTCCGTCCTCCCCCTGCTCTGGTTCCTTCTCCATCGCAGCCCTCTCCTCTCGCCCCTTGGGCTCCCCTCTAGCCCGCCCACCTCCCCTGTCGGCCCGGCCGTCCCCCGGCGCCGGGGAGCTCCGGGCCGCCCATGATGGGCTCCGTGCTCCCGGCTGAGGCCCTGGTGCTCAAGACCGGGCTGAAGACGCCGGGACTGGCGCTGGCCGAGGTCATCACCTCCGACATCCTGCACAGCTTCCTGTACGGCCGCTGGCGCAACGTGCTCGGGGAGCAGCTCTTCGAGGACAAGAGCCACCACGCCAGCCCCAAGACGGCCTTCACCGCCGAGGTGCTGGCGCAGTCCTTCTCCGGCGGTGAGTCAAGCCGTCGGGGCCTGGCGCAATCCCTCCTCCCGGCGACCCCCATTCCCGTCCTGGCGATGCGCGAGACGCGGCTGGGATACCCGGCCTGTCTGCTGCTTGCGCCAACCTGGGCGCTCCTGGCGCTCCGTGCACCTCAGTTTCCCCATGGGCCAAACAAGGACGCGAGCCACCAAGCCGAGGTGGGGCGCGGGGCAGCCCCGCAGTCCACACGGCTCAAGGACCGATCCCGGCGACCCCGTCGCTCGGCTCCGTCGCCCCGCCGGCCCCTCCTTTCCCCTCCCGCGCTTGAGCTGGCGGGTTCCTGGCATTTAAAGCCTTACTAGGCGTGTAATAGCAGTTGACTCAAAAAGAAGGGGTTTTAAATTCATTTAGTTAACTTGGGCTTGACCCGCGAAAGTTCCCACTTAAACCAAGAACTTTAAAAGGCAACCGGGGCTGGGGAGGGGATGGAGGGAGGGCGGGCGGGGAGAAAAAGCCGCGGGGAGAGCGGGGGAGAGAAAGGGAGAGCGAGAAAAGTTTCTTTTCTTTAAGATGTCTCAAGTTCTTATTCCTCATTCATCAACCCGCAAACAATATCTTTCCCTGGGTCTGGCATCTCTGCGCGTCGCCCTCTTTTCCCCCTTTACGATTTCTGTTCCTCTCTTAATTTACCGTGAAGACTAATTCCACTTCCATTCACGCTATGTCAACCATCTAATCCCCCCTTTTTGTAAGGGGAATTCCTCGGCCCCTTTTAAACAAGTCCCCTCCGCATTGAGCTACAATTTACTGCTACAGCATTCTTCCAGGGCTAATGAATTTAGAATTAGCAATTTCTTTCGAATGGAGCCGAATGAATGCGATCACTTTAACAGCGTGACAAATTGCCGGCCGCGCCGCAATGGACACCGTTTAACCCCCCTTTCAGCCGGCCCGCTCGCCGGGTATTTTCCCAGGTAGCTTAGAGGGGAACCTTGTAAGACATGGAGGCCGCCCCTGTACGCCTCGCCGCTCCCAGCCCGGCCGCAGAGGCCCGACAGGAGAACCCTCGGGGAGCTGGGGGCCGCCGCGGCTCCTCCCCGCCCAGAGAGAAGACATCGGGGCTTGTCTGAGCCCGGGCGCCGCCCTTCCTGGCACCCCACGGCCTGGGAGCAGAAAGGCACTCGGGCGCGCCCGAGGTCACACAGCGAGCGCGGAGCCTGGCCAGCTGCTGCCGGTGCTTCTTTGGCACCTCCAACACCTGCCAGCCCGAGGTCTGTCCCCAGCGCTGATCACTGGGTCCTCTGCCAGTGCCCGGAGCCTGGACGCACAGTGGGCTCCTGGTACCCGACTAGGAGAAAGAGTCTTCGGTTGGCCTTCACCTCCTTGCAGGACCTGGCCTCAGTTCTCCCGTGCATAAAACCGCTCGGTGCCGTTGGCTCATTAATTCTTAAACTTATCCGGGGCAGAGAGCGGAAGAAGTTGTGAATGCTTTGAGAATTCGCGGAGAGACTAAAAACCCGCTTCTAAAAACGATCCCCAACGCACCACTCGCTTTCCAGGGCACGGAGGGTCCCCAGGTTGCAAACAGAGGAGAGGTCCTTGAGCCTCTGCACATCCGACTGTCCCCAACACCCGGGTGGCTTCTCTGGATTTGGGGCCGACTTGGGTTTGGCCGGTCTGGGCAGGACCGAAGCTGGGGTCCCGGCGGGGAAGGAAGGGCCGGTCCTCGGCTGCCTCGGGCTCTGACCGGTTTTCCTGGTCCTGCCGCCACAGAAGTGCAGAAGCTGTCCAGCCTGGTGCTGCCAGCGGAGGTGATCATCGCTCAGAGCTCCATCCCTGGCGAGGGCCTCGGCATCTTCTCCAAGACGTGGATCAAGGCGGGCACCGAGATGGGCCCCTTCACCGGCCGCGTGATCGCCCCGGAGCACGTGGACATCTGCAAGAACAACAACCTCATGTGGGAGGTAAGTGCGCGCGGGCTGGGGCAGAGGGGCGCAGGGACCGGCGAGGGGCGCTGGCCGCGGGTGGGACTGCCGTGTCCGGCGGTCGCCGCTTCCACCAGGCAGGGAGCAGCGGACACTCCCCACCTGGACGCCCCCTGAGCCGGGACTCTAAGCCGCCCCAGCCTGGAGCTCACCCCACCTCTAGGCGCCTCCCAACCCGTGCCGAGAAGGCACGGAAAATCCGACCCTCCTTCCTCGGGACACCCCGGCAGAGCAGGACTGTCGTTGGCTCCACTTGGCAGATGAGGGCACTGAGACCCAAAGCAGTCAGGTGGTTTGCCCAGGGTCCCCACGTGCCCTCCCTCCAGGCTACCTACCAGCTACTTACATTCTTTCCCTGGCCCCAGAAGCAGCCTGGGAAGCCCCTCAAGGCCAGTCCTGGGCTGGGGGTGAGGTGGGGCTGGAAAGGAGAATGCCTGGTGAAGGCAGAATGACATTCGCGATGACCGCGGCTGAGCTGGCACTGAGTTAGCTTCTGTGTCCCCAGCCTGCAGTCACGGATGACCTCAGCAGCCCATGCCTTACTGTTCCCTTTTTACCGCGGGAAACGGAAGCTCCAAGAGGCTTCCATCCTAGGCCTTTCCACCCATGACAGTGACAGTGACAGTGCCAGGGAGGGCCACCCCTGTGCTTCCTCCTAACCTTGCAGAACAGGAAACCAGTGTGCCAGACTGGTACACACCCTTCCTAATCCCATTCCCTCACCCGCTCCCCCACTCGAGGCCCCTCCTGGTGGACCCTGGAGAAGCCCAACTTTATAGAACTGGGGGATGGCCCAGAGGTCTCTCTTGACCTCATCTTCTCCCTCCTCTGGAGGGCTGGGCCACTAACCACATTCTCCAGTTGCTAGGTCAGGAAGTTGGGGTCCAGTATGACCTCCGAGTGGCCTTGGCAGCTCGCGTGAAGGGGTTTAGGCCAAACTGGAGTGCCACAGCGATCCAGCCCTCCTCCCTGGGCTCCAGGATCCTCCCTCTCTGAGGTCCTGGCTGATGTTCCCAGTGCCATGGGGAGCACCTCTGCATCCCTTGAAATAGCTCAGGGCCACTTTGTCTGAGCAGTGATCCTTGGAGACCGTTTTCTTCTGGGGGTAGGGAGGACATGGCAACAGGAGCGTATATCATGGTCAGCCCATAGGGCCCTGGAGACTGACCCCCTGTGGGCCACTTCCAACAGGGTAGCCTCAAGGAAGTCCCTGAACCTCTCTAGCCTTCCTTTCCTCAGTGGGAAAATGAAGCTTTATCCACTTCCTGGGGCTGTTGTGAGGATGGAGAGTGTATGTGTGGAAGTGCCTGGAAGATTGTACACATGACATAGCCCTGCCTTACCTGGTCCTCGATCCATCTGTGCCCAGGTGTTCAATGAGGATGGCACGGTGCGCTACTTCATAGATGCCAGCCAGGAGGACCACCGGAGCTGGATGACCTACATCAAGTGTGCACGTAACGAGCAGGAGCAGAACCTAGAGGTGGTCCAGATCGGCACCAGCATCTTCTACAAGGCCATTGAGGTGTGTGCGTGTGCACTGTTGTGTAGGGATCAGCTGTTAAACCCGGTGTGGGGAGGTGTGCAGGGCAGCGATGTCCAGGAACCACAGTGGACAGAGGGGGAGCTGACACTGGCCTCGCTGGCTTTGCTCAGGCCATGGGGCTACAGCAGACAGGTGGTCTCCAGACATCCCGCTCTCCAGGTGTGTGACCTCCATGGGAAGCTTTCTGCTGCAGATCAGAAAGGATAGGGCTCTCAACTTGATGCCATTGGGAATGTCATGAGCATCCCAATAGTGAGGTCCCCGGATGTTGGCTGAGGGTGTCCCGATGTTCAGGGGTCACAGAGACACACAGAAGCAAGATGGGGAGAGGCAGCCCAGGGAACGAGTTGGGGTGGGAGAGAGGGTGTGTGTCTGCAGCCATTTAGCGGTGTGATGGCCCTCATTCTGCATGCGTGGGCACCGGTGGCTTACGACTCATGACTCCAGTCTCAGCGATGGCTTCCCGTGTGTCAGGCTTCTCCCAGATGCTGGATATGCAGTACGGTATTTAATCCCCACGCGGCCCCAGGAGGAGGACTCTGTGATTATTTACAGTTTACGGACCAGAAAACCAGGTCTCCCTTGGTGGCAGCAGACTTGGGGGTTTTGCAGGCCATCTGGGGAGACTGTTAGCACTAATAGCTGCGCTGCCTGAGCCGTCTCAGAGGAGACAGACAGGGCCAGGAAACAGGCTGAACATGGTGGCTTATGCCTGTAATCCCAGCACTTTGGGAGGCCGAGGTGAGTGAATTACCTGAGGTCAGGAGTTCAAGACCAGCCTGGCCAACATGATGAGACCTCATCTCTAATAAAAACACAAAAATTAGCAGGGCGTGGTGGCGTGCACCTGTAATTTCAGCTACTGAGGAGGCTAAGGCATGAGAATTGCTTGCACCAGGAAGGCAGAGGTTGCAGTGAGCCGAGATCACGCCACTGCACTCCAGCCTGGGTGACACAATGAGACTCCATCTCAAAAAAAAAAAAAAAAAAAAAAAGATGGCATGTAAATATCACTTCCTGTGGTGTGGCAGGGATGAGGCTGAGCCAGGAAGGTTCAGAGGGGAATGGGAAGAGCAGGGCTTCCTGGTAGGACAGTGCTTGGGCAGAGGCAGAAAAGATCCAGGTGTCTGGGCAGTGGCGGAGGGTGCAAACCAAGCAGAGAGGTGGTCACCCGGGCAGGCCCACACTGGGACCCTCCATGGACAGTGTCCTTTGGCAGGAAATCTGGCCCAGGAGTAGAGGGAAGGTGCCCACCTACCCACCGGCTGCTGGGGGTAGACTGATAGCAAGTGCTGTGCAGAGGCAGTCAGGCGCTTCCCACCACACTTCTCTGCTCCCCTCGTGGTGGGGCTGGAGCTTGATGGAGATTTTCGGGTGTTCTGTAGCAGCAGAGAGCGACTGACCTTTAGTCCATGTTCCATTTTCTCCCCAGGACTCAGACCCTGAAGCTCTTTCTAAGACCCCTGGGGGTGCCAGGGCCTAGTAGTTTCTGGGATGGGTTCCTTTGGTTGTTCCTGAATAACAAGGCCCTAGGGACTCTCCCAGAGGTGACAGCAGGGGGACTAGCCTGGGTCCCAGCTGAGGGGTGGTGCTTGGAGGAGCAGGAGGTGGAGGATAAAAAAAAAGCTGAGCGGTTCCTGGATTGGGTTTCAAGTGAGGTAAGACGGCCGTGGGGCAGGGTGCAGAGACGACTGAAAGCAGCGCAGGCCCAGGACAGAGGTGGCTCCTTGACCATCTGGCTGGGCCACCACAACCTAAAATTTGCTTCCAGTGCGGCTGAATCCCACATCTAACAGAATGCACCCTCCCAGATCCTCACCCCACCACCCTGTCACACACATCTTCACCTTCATACCCTCCTTCCCAGCCATCCTGATATAGATGTGATGGAGGACTCCCACCCATCCCCTCACCAACCCCATACGCACACACATGCCCACACATGTGAACACAAGAGACAGACCAGAAATGCCTACATCATTTTGGCAAGAGGGCTTCAGGCTGAGGCAGATGTCGGGGCCGGAGTCTCATCTCGCTGTGCAGGTCACACCGGCTAGAAGCCAAACAAAGTCAGAAAACATGAATAGACATTCAGACAGAAATTCAGTCCGAGGGCAAGGAGGCTGAAGAATATCTTCAGGGAAGCAACCGAGTTTATAGGATTAAGAAAAATGGTCATCTACATTCGATCAGGAATTTAAATTGAAACAAGAGGATCAGGCAGAGCATAGTGGCTCACGCCTGTAATCGCAGCATTTTCAGAGGATGAGGTGGACAAATCACTTGAGGTCAGGAGTGTAAGATCAGCCTGGCCAACATGGTGAAACCCCATCTCTACTGAAAACACAAAAACTAGCCGAGCGTGGTGGCAGGTGCCTGTAATCCCAGCTACTCCGGAGCTGGGGCAGGAGAATTGCTTGAACCCAGGAGGCGGAGGTTGTAGTGAGCTATCAGCAGCATTGCACTCCAGCCTGGGTGACAAAGCGAAACTCTGTCTCAACAACAACAACCAAAAAAAGAGGATCAGGACACACACACACACACACACACACACACACACACACATGATATAGGTATAGATATGTGATAACATATCTGATACAGACAGATCCACCAGTTTGGCTGTCAATGCTTTTACAGAGTTAGCAAGACTTCTAAGAAGGGACTGTTTGCGTGAATGACAAGGAAGCAAAATGCTACCCGTTTTACTTTTAAAGTTGGATATACTTTTTGTGGTGGCAGGTTTCTCAAATCATTTTGTCACAATGTCAGATTCCACTTACCAGATAAATTATGTGTCTGGGTGTATGTGGCCACCCTCGAGATGAGGCCGAGGCCCAGAGCTCACGCAGCCCCTGTGGGCTAGATGAGAAGATGCTGCTGTTCCCCAGGCCATTCCCTGGACGACTTGGGAATCAATCGGCTGTTTATTCTGTGTGTGTGGGTGAGTTAGCCAAGGAGAAGGACCTCTGCTGTGATGTTTTCTTAAACTTTCTGCCACTCAGAACTGCCGCTCATATTTCATAACAGTAACCCATTACTTGCCAAAAATAGTAAGGAACATCTTTATTCAATAAGCAGAATATGCTGTTGCTGCTCTAAAACTTTCCATAAGTACAGAATAACAGCCTTCTCAACAGAAACTAAGGCAATAGGGTTTTAGAGCTCAGGCAGTCAGTGGAGGCGCCCCAGCAGGGCGTGCATCTGGTTGGATCCACTGATGTGACCCCTGGGGAACCTCCCGGCTTACTCCAGTCACAGAATTTACTATAACTTCAGGTGCCTAAAATGACAGTTCTAGAAAGTACCTACCACATAGCAAGTGGCCACTAAATGTTGAAGGATTAAAAGGGTCTTAGCAATTTTTTAATTTTTTTTTTTTTTTTTTTTGAGATGGAGTCTTACTCTGTCGTCCAGGCTGGAGTGCAGTGGTGCAATCTTAGCTCACTGCAATCTCCACCTCCCAGGTTCAAGCAATTCTCCTGCCTCCCAAGCAGCTGAGATTACAGGCATGCGCCACCATGCCTGGCTAATTGTTGCATTTGTATTTTTTTTTTGAGACAGAGTCTTGCTCTGTCGCCCAGGCTGGAGTGCAGTGGCCGGATCTCAGCTCACTGCAAGCTCCGCCTCCCGGGTTTACACCATTCTCCTGCCTCAGCCTCCCGAGTAGCTGGGACTACAGGTGCCCGCCACCTCGCCCGGCTAGTTTTTTGTATTTTTTAGTAGAGACGGGGTTTTACCGGGTTAGCCAAGATGGTCTCGATTTCCTGACCTTGTGATCCGCCCGTCTTGGCCTCCCAAAGTGCTGGGATTACAAGCTTCAGCCACCGCGCCCCGCCTAATTTTTGTATTTTTAGTAGATTTCACCATGTTGGCCAGGCTGGTCTCGGACTCCTGACCTCAGGTGACCTGCCCACCTCGGCCTCCCAAAGTGCTGGGATTATAGGTGTGAACCACTGCATCTGGCCAACAACTTTTTAAAAAAATAGAATCTGCTAAGCCCTCAGAGTGCTGCTCTCTGTTACTATCCTCATTTTTATCACGGTGAAACTGAAATGTTAGGGAGATTACGGGAAGTTGCTGAGCTGCGATGGGAACCCAGGCCCGTCGGAGCCCAGAGCTGGAGCGCTGAGTCACCATACCGTGTGGCCTCCCTGGCCAATATCTATTTGCTGGAACTCTATTAATTGGTGTGTCAGGACATCTGTGGTACAATGGAAATTGATGTTTGTCCAGATGACATTGAGATCCTTTTACACTAGGGCTTCAGAGCCTGTGGAGAAGGGGAGGGTATTTGCAGTCTCCTGGGAGCATGTTCAGTGGCAGGATATGAATTTACAGCAGGAAAACAAACCCCAAATTCTCTCATTTCCAATTTATAATAAAAATTGAGAAAGTGGGGCAGGACAGACCTTCTGGGCTGATAGGGCTCAGAGAAGCACGTTGAGAGGGCATGTCCCTTTGTCGAAAGAGACCCAGGCACTGGTATTCCAGAGTTCTGCTGATGTGGGTTTTGTGGTACAGGACTCAGTTCCTTTGGGAATTGCTTTGTTTGTTTTGTGTCCTGAGCCTTTTCCTGCTCCCCTAAAAAGTGAATGACCAACTGATCCTGCTTCTCCGAGCCCCAGCAGAGAGCCCCGGCCTGCCAGGCCAGGCCTGAGTCTCAGCAGTAGAGAGTGCTGCCGAGGGCACCTAGAGGGCATGGTGGCTGTTCTTTGTATCCAGGCAGTCAGCGGGTGGGACCCCAGGAGCCTCTGCACAGTGATCCCAGGGTTTCAGGGAAGAAGCTGCAGGTTCCTGGGTTTTCTGGGTTTGATAGTAGAAGTTTGTTGATGGCGGATGCCTGAGAGCAGGCAGACACCAGAGGCCTGGGCACTGGGCACAGAAGGGCTGAGAGAGACTCCCAGTTCCCAGCCTCTGGGCAGGTGGGGTTGCTGGCTTCTAGCTGTCTGGAAATATGTGTCATTCTCAATTCCAGC